ATCCTTTGACTTAACTGCCTCCGCGAGCTGACCTGAGAATTTCCCGGTCCAGCTCTTCCCCCTGGTTGGATGGCCTATAGTAAACCCCCACTGTTAAGTCTTTCCCCTTGACCCCCTTGTATTTGGACCCAGAGCAATTCAGTCTGCCCCTCCTCTGACCCAGTGCTGTTTATTGAGAATGTGTATTGCTCTTTGACATAGAGCACCACACCCCCACCTTTCCTCCCTGTTCTCTCTCTCCTGTACAGCCTATGGCCCTTGATGTTTACCACCCAGTCATGTGTTGGGTCCCACCAAGTTTCAGTGGGCCCCACTATGTCCAGGTTTGTGTTAGCTATCAGGAGGGCAAGTTCCTCCTGCTTGTTCCCCATACTATGAGCATTAGTGTAGAGGCATTTAAGGCCTCCTGGAGGTGTATTTAAGGCCTCTTGGAGCCTGGAAGTGCTGAAATAGTCTTTTGGGTGTTGTGACTCAAAGACAGCCCTGTGATAGAGAGTCCCCTGGTGCTGGGAATCCCACAACTCCCAGAGTCACTCCCCCATGTTTCCCATTTTAGTGCATTCTCCATGGTAAGGCTCCCCTGCAACCAGAAATCCAGGAAGAAATGGACTCTCTCACTCCAAGACAGTATGCACTGCAGGGCTGCAATGGAGCTAGGGACCCTGGGAGTCCTCCTTTTCTGCTATTTTGTGGTGGGTGGCAGTGACATTGACAAGAGTCATCTCAATTTCATTCAGCAGCCACTAGGCATCTTCAATAGGGTGTTTTGTCTTGGAAGCCCCATTCTTCAGTGTTTCCAGAAGGAAATACTGTGGGATTTCAGTTCAGTGAAACAAAAATGGAATTTGTATTATTCCCAATTCAGGATAAAAACTTTTCCAAAGAATAATGATTCCAGAGCTAAAATTCAGTTTTTCAACCAATTCAAGACTGAAGCAATTTTTTTTAGGCTCATAGGACTATTAGATCCAATTAGGATATTGTCACATGCAGTGCCTCGGGAACTGCCACACAGAAAATGTGTTGTCTTAGCAGTAGGCTTCTCTGCCTGCAGGGGCCAGGCAGTAGACACAGGGATGTGCATTCCTCTTGAAATTCCATAGTAAGTACCACTCAAGTTTTAATGATAGTGATTACATGCTGTTCCCCTTGAAACATTTTTTTAATCTAGGACTTTCAGAGGTGACAAACAGCCCTGCAGCTGCACTGCTCAGAACTCCTTTTAATATTGGAGTAGACTCGGCTTTTCAGATCCCCTTCTTTCCCAGTACACATGTGAATAAAGTTCCCAATATGCAGCTGCATTAATTTTACAGCCTGAGATAGGCGAAAGGCTCACAGGATTGCAGATTGCTTAAAATTCCTTGCTTAAAGTCTTTTGAAAGGAGAAATATCAGCATCTATAAATAACAATCACTACCAAATGTCTTGATCAAAGATGAAGCAAGAATGAAGAAACCCATAAAAGAAATGGAACATTACATAGTCTTTTCAAATGTGTATTGGTATATTTGCAAAATACTGGCATTTCAAGAAGACAATCAAATAAGATTATTTTCAAAAGTCATTTTACTGATTATGTCTAAACAATGACCTCTGGTTGGGTAGTTGGGTATTTGGAGGAAAAGGATGTAACAACTGTTTTTCAGAATGACTAGTGTTTACACAATCAATAGTCTCATTGTGGGGTATTTCATTCAGGGGACATGGAAAGTAACAAAAATCTTATCTATTGGCTATTCTTCTGCTTATGATTATTATTATTAAAACTATCTTGTATTAGCAATGTACATATACCTATTAAATAAATGAGCTGTAGGGCCAAAATCAAATAGGAAGAGACACAATTCAAAACATGCATTATACTATTTTAACAGGATGGTCTCTAGTGCAAGCTTTAACTCCTATGCTTATGGCTTTTTATTTTTAGCAGCTGCCCTTTCATGCAAAATCAAGATGTATATTGGAAATGTTATTGGATACCTCAAAGGACCAATATGATTTTTTAATAGTGACATGTCTCTGGAGAGAGCGGAAAAGTCTGTTTTGAACACTGTTTTTCCCTTTTGGAATCTGGGCCTCATTTCAACCGCTTTCATTCTTCAAAGAAAGCTCAGTTTTTTTCCAGTGTTTATTCCTGGTAGAAAATACTATGCTAGTCATTGCAGTAGTCTATTTGGCACTGGTTGTACAGAGGGCTACCATAATAAGCCTAGCTAGATCTTAGATAGCATTTTGCAGCAGTAGATCTCAAAACACTTTATATGAGAGACAGGGGCCATGTCTACACATATGCTTTACTGCAGAGTAGACTAATTAACTTCAGAGTAAAAGCGACACTGTCTACATGTATGATGATATTAGACTGTAGTAAAATAATTTATGCTGGCATAAGGTGGTACAGTTGGGGACAGTACTATTTTACACCAGGGTAATTTACTGTGATTAATAAATGCATGTGTGGACACTGACCATGGGCATAAATTGCACATGGCCAGCCCAGCCAACCAGGGCCCAAACTCCTGTTTGCTGCTTAGCCACATGGGTTCACACTTTCAGCACTCTCATGCCCCATCCAGCCCCTCTGCCACTCACCAACACCACCTGGAGCCTGGGGCTGAACCCCCATTTCCCCTGCCAGCCTAGGTCTTTTCTGCCTTGGCTCAAATTGTTGCTGTCCCAGGCACATGTGTAGATGCTGCACCTGAGAGTAGTTTACTCCATCTCAAACTGCTTTGTAGTTTATTGCTCCACATTAATTGCATGTGTAGATGTACTCAGAGAGGAATGAAGTAAATTGCACAAGGCAACCCAGTAGACTAATGATGGGACCAGGAATAACACTCAGGTCTCCTGAGTCCTAGTCCCATGCTCTAAGCTTTTGCTTCCCCCAAATAGGAGCCTTAGTTAGTTAATTTTCATTATATTTTATTTAAAAGCTCATATAAAGCCATTTTCAATTTGCTACTAATTGCCAACAGAAAGTCCACCTTGTCTAAACTTTAATGAAGCAAATTTAATCATTTCCATTATTTAAATCCCTTGTTCATTTTGGGTCAAAATTTTGCATGCTCAAAGTCTGCCCAGAAATCACCTTGCAGAATATTTTTAGCAAAATCCCTTAGGCTGTTTTTAAACAAACAACCAAACAGACAAGTCAAATTTTTGAACAAGGCAACAGCAAACTAGTTGATATCCACAGCATCCCACCCATTTGATGACATCCCTGAATACTCTCCCTTCCCAGGCTAACTAACTCCTGCTGCGAGAATGTATATGAGACAGAAAGACTCTAAATGTCTTCCTGAAACATGAACAAAGAAAATCATCTCCCACCAAAAGAATATAACCACTGCTGGTTTAACATTAGGTACAAGCAGAAAATACCATGGATAAGAAAAACAACACCTTTGTAACTTACCCCAACTTTTCTTGCATTCCATTATATGCTGCTTATTCTGAGAATTTAGCTTAAAATATTAAGGCTCTGAATCTCTAGACAGCACACACCTATGGGTGCCTGTAGATGTGCAGGGAGGCTGCTCTGACATACTTTAGTTAAAGTGCGTCGTAATGGACTCAATCAAGTCTGCTGGACTGTGCTACTGAGCGCACCTCCAGTAGCCTCCACGTCTCAGGTATCAGCATCCCCATGCTTCAAAACACTGCTGTCATTGGCACTCCATGTGGAGGCAGTGGGCCAACCCCCTAGACTCTCTCTGGAGGACAAAGGCCTTGTATTGTAAGCTCTTTGTAGAAAGGCCTGTCCTTACCATATTGGTCTGATAATAAATCCGTCCAAATTTCATTTTAAAGTTCAGTTTTAAGAAAAATCAGCTTTAGCCTTAAACTTTAAGTCAATAATTACAGATAAAATCCTTAAACTGCTTTTGTCTTTAACATAATCCTGCAGGACAATCAAATAATCAAAGCTTATCCCAAAGGTTTAGATGCATTAAAATACTAAATTAAGAATGCACTGAAAAATATTCTGATTTGGTATTTTTATTGCATACGTAAAAATACCTCAAGTACAAAAGTCACGGTCCTGATACCCAGTACTTGATTATAGGTTGACCCTGTGTACAAGCTGAGTATATTTTTAGGGTTGTTTTGAGGGGAAGAAAAGTGAACTTATAATCAAAACAACATGGTATAATGCAATAGTTAGCACAGTAAGGCTCCAATCTTGCTTGAGGCCTGTATGATCTAATACTATTTATTAGAAACCTTGTAAAATACCTTTCATGAAACACAACAGGAGTCTATGGAAAATGCGTTCAATCTCCACATGTTTTCACTGTAAGTTTTAAAAGGCAATATTGTTTTCAGTTTTGGCCAGCAAATAAGAGGTATTCAAATATAAATGGCATAGTGTTGCTGATTATTGACTTGTGGCCCATCCTTTTATTTTAACAAGTTTTTTTTTAATTTTTTAAGGCTTCCTTGAACAAGGCCTACTAGTTCGGGATGAAAAGAAGTTGAGAGAACGGTATACCTCAACAGTTCAGTTCAAACTTGATATGCTCTCGCTTGTACCAACAGACCTGGCCTATTTCAAATTTGGTTTGAATTACCCTGAACTGAGGTTTAACCGCCTGCTGAGGTTTTCCAGGCTATTTGAGTTTTTTGACCGCACAGAAACCAGGACAAACTACCCAAATATATTTCGGATTGGAAATCTTGTCTTATACATTCTCATAATCATCCACTGGAATGCCTGTATATATTTTGCGATATCAAAGATGATTGGGTTTGGAACCGACTCCTGGGTCTACCCCAATATATCCCATCCAGAGTATGGCCGTCTATCCAGAAAGTACATTTACAGTTTGTACTGGTCAACACTGACACTGACAACCATTGGAGAGACCCCACCTCCAGTGAAGGATGAAGAATTTTTGTTTGTGGTCATTGACTTCTTGGTGGGTGTGCTCATCTTTGCTACCATTGTTGGTAATGTAGGCTCTATGATTTCCAATATGAATGCTTCCAGGGCAGAGTTCCAGGCCAAAATTGATTCCATAAAACAGTATATGCATTTTCGCAAAGTGAGCAAGGATTTAGAGGCCAGAGTGATTAAGTGGTTTGATTACCTCTGGACCAACAAGAAAACAGTGGATGAGAAGGAGGTTCTTAAAAGCCTGCCTGACAAGCTGAAGGCTGAAATTGCCATCAATGTCCATTTGGACACACTCAAGAAAGTGCGTATATTCCAAGATTGCGAAGCTGGTCTTCTGGTTGAGCTAGTGCTGAAGCTGAGACCCACAGTCTTTAGTCCTGGAGACTATATTTGCAAAAAGGGAGATATTGGGAGAGAAATGTACATCATTAAAGAAGGGAAGTTGGCTGTAGTGGCAGATGATGGTGTAACACAGTTTGTGGTCCTAAGTGATGGTAGCTACTTTGGAGAAATTAGCATCCTAAATATCAAAGGTAGCAAATCTGGTAACAGGAGGACAGCCAACATCAGGAGCATTGGCTATTCAGATCTGTTTTGTTTGTCTAAAGATGATCTGATGGAAGCCCTTACTGAATATCCTGATGCCAAAAAGGCATTAGAAGAAAAAGGACGGCAAATTCTGATGAAGGACAATTTAATAGATGAGGAAGCAGCAAAAGCAGGAGCTGACCCTAAAGACTTGGAAGAAAAGGTGGAAAGACTTGAAACTGCTCTAGATAATCTACAGACGAGGTTTGCTAGGCTCCTGGCAGAATATAACTCGAGCCAACAGAGAGTCAAGCAGAGACTCAATGAAGTAGAGAGCACTGTGAAGAAATATGGAACTAGTCCTTTATGTGAAGCAGAAGGGGAAGCCGCAAAGTCAGAGGAGGAGCAAAATAAATAATAGTTTGTTTGTATTTCTTCTGTTAATATAGAATATTGCAACATGTAAAAGCCATAAACATATATAACTGTGTGTGTGTGCATGTGAGAACACACACAATTATTTTTATATGAACTCCAAAGTATTTTTTTTAGAGTTTTTAACTAAAGTTATATTTTAATGTAAATAGAAAGTTGTTACCTTTCCATTGTTTTTAGAAGGTGGCTTTGGATTGTCACTTGGGTATACTTTTGTACTTCTCACAGGTTTCTTACAAGTCATACTTAGACTGTCTTGACTGTGCTGTCTGCAGGTCCTGAAACATTTAATTTTGTTCCTCTCTTCCCATGCAGTTTCTGTAAAGCTGGAATTATATGTAAAATCATAGTGGACATGATCAAAAGAGGAGAAAGTCCTGTATTGGTACCTAACTTTCCTGTTTGCACATCCTATAACATATGATAGGAACTTACTACACACATGTAATGAGTCCAGACTACCCAAAATCTATATCTTTCACAGCAACGCACTCTGTCCACGTTAAGGAACTTGGCTAACAACAAGAAAGTAGAAGGCAGGGTAGATTTGCACCTTACAGACTAAGTAAAGGAGAGAGAGCAAGAGAGAGAGAGAGCATGCACAAGCTTTTGTGAGCTTTCGTAGTATCCAGCTTACGAACCCTAATATAGACATTATTGACAATATTTATACACACACATGTATATACACACAGACACTTTGGTTAGTCTATAAGGTGCAAATCCACCCTGCATTTTACTTAACCTGGCAGAGTTAACTACATTTCTAATAATGGGAAAGACCTACCTGGTATATACAGCCTGTTACATTGTGTATGAAATGCTCACATACTTAGATGGTACAGACAGACAATTTCCTACTACACTAGACATTGGTAAGTCCTGATAACACAGCCATAGGTGTTTGATGGGTTCTCAGCTCAGCCCTGCAGCTGCTTCACTGTTTGGCTGTGTTTGTGAGGCTGCATTAATTCTTTCCAGTCCCTTCCATACTGAAAATATCCCTACTTAAAAAGAACCTGGGAAGGCCACCACTAGTTGAGGGAATCCCAGCAATATGACTCCATTAAAACTGAGCAGAGACCCCCAAGGGCCTCCATGCATGGGCCCCTAACTTGCTTGCCAGCCTTTGGGATCACTGCTAGTTCTGACGGTAGAAATATTTTTGTTTATTTTGCCTGGGGCCATCCTGATGAAATCATCTGGGATATGTTCTCGAAGGGGATCCTCACAGGCTTTATTTTCTCTCAGATCCTCACCTGCAGGGACTTCTGGAGTGCAAAGTGATCCAGGGCCCTGCTAGGAGGTCTTTCCTGATATTCATCCTAATTTTTCATTGACTTGATTTCAGTTTATTATTACTACTCATTACTCTCATGTGCCAGCCCACACAATTCCTCTTTTAGCGCCTTCAAATATTCAAAGATTATTATTGTGTCTCTGCTTATGCTTTCTTTAGACAAAACCAAGAAAAGAATAGTATTAACTTCTCAACAGGTCAACCCCTTTAGGTCTCAAATAGTCTTACTAGCTCTCAAAACATGCTGTAGATGGTCAGTAGGTTTCTGGCAATAGCTAGCCTTGAATACAACACAACACCCCAGATGCAATCATCACCAGCATCACATTCAGGGCAAAAAATATATTGAGTATTTTTACTGCCACATCACACTGTGACCTCTTGTCTAGAATCTTATGCCATAATCTCATTCGCCTACTCTGAGCCTTATTACCTTACCACTTTTTGGGTGTTTGTCTTTCCTATTGGGTATGGTTTTTGTATTCTCCAGGTAACAGGCCAAGCCTGGTTACTGAGAGTAGAGCTAGGTAGTAGAGATAAAGCTGCAGAGCCACAGATAATGGCAACTAATTAGCAAGTATCCTTTTTTTGTCTGATAAAAAAAAAATCTCCAATTTTGGAATTTAAGAAAGTAACCCAAAAGCCACATTTTTATTTTATCAAAATGAAACACCACTATATCTATAGCTATATAGATATAGTGGTGTTATATATCTGTATCTATATCTATAGCTATAGATATAGCTATAGTGGTGTGCTCTCTATATATATATATATAGAGAGAGAGAGAGAGAGAGATCTATAGATATAGATAGCTACAAAGATATATATGTATATATATGAATATATCTATCTATCTATATAGCGAGATTTTATATAGATATAGACACACACACGCATAAATACATACCCATATCTATATAAGTGGTGTTTAATTTTGATCATGGAAAAGTTTGAATTTTGGGTTACTTTTTTAATCTGAAAATTGGTGATTTTTTTGTTATCAGAGAAAACCAGGTTCCCTGCTAATTAGGTAATGGCCTGCTGCAGCACCCTCTGCTCGAAAGGAGGGAGAGCCAGGAGCTATATAAGCCCATATCCATCGCAGAGGGAAGTCTGATATGGGCAGAGCAGGAAGAAGGAATTTGCTGGGAGCAGTGTAGGGAGCTGGAGACTGACATTGTCTGTGCTAGCTGAAGGAACTCCCTGTACTGAATGGGGAAGCAATATAGGAGACTGGGAACTGTGAGTAGGCCCAGGAGGACTCAAGCTGGGAGAAACCAGAAGAACTAAATAGAAAGCTGGGGAGAGCTTATAGAAAGGCAGCCCAGCTGCACTTGTTTATATATGTTTTTGGCTTCATGTTTGCTGTTTAGGCTGTAAGGTATTGGAGTGGCTGAAGGGGAGGAGAGGAGGCCATGTGACCTGAGATCCAGCTGTCAGAGCCTGAAAGACTGTGCAGGACAGGGCACCCAAGATGATCATTCTGGTTCTTTGGAGACAGCTTCCTAGAGCAATAGCAACAGCCAAGAGGAGCACAGGGTGGTACCTGGAGTGAGACCAGAGTGATAGGGATGGGATTAGAGTTGCACAAGAAGGTGCCACTCCTGCTGCTAACTCTGGATCCTGTTGCATCCTCATCCCAGGATGTGTTGGTTGTCCTTTCCTATGCAAACTCCCTCTTATTTTCTGCTAACATTCCTGCTGTCTCTGGTTTCCTTGTATTAGTCTTCCGTCCTCACAGATATTGACATCCCCTCTACATCAAGGGTGGCATCCTAGTCTCCTTGAAGTCTATGGAAAAGCTCCTTCCACAACAGTCAACCTGTAATCTCATCAAGTCATCTGTTGTGTTGTCTACATGGTTAACGTGGTATCCATTCACCTCTCAGCTCTTGATCCCATTGGTTAGAGAGAGAAACTATTCCGATTCTAACTTTTTGTCTCAAATCTATTTCATTCCAAATAAAATCAAATAAGGCCATAGGATGCTTGTTTGTAGTGTCTATTTCTATCAATGTGTTTGGGGGAAAAGAGGCTAGAAATATAAAGATCACTGTTAAGAGAAAGGAAACTTGCTTTTGCAAATAGACTCTTTAATTGATTAACATTACACCTCTGTATTTCAGCCACAGAAACTGGAAATATGCTGGTTCGTTCTTACTCTGGCTCTTCTTTAATGCTTCATCTTGTGCTATTTCTCTGTTTTGCAATATTTATTTATTTAAATAGCTTGTGCTGTACATGGTACTTGCTCTGGCCAGTCTGGGACTGTTTTGCATATGGTGCCCCCTCCCACCGATTTGGGAGGTGGGCAGTCCCAGACCAGAAGTGAGTGGGGGTGATGCATGCCGTGTGGATCCCAAGCCAGTTGGGGCAGGTGCTGTGGTTGCTGGATCCATTATGAGAAAGGGAGCAGGAGTGTCCATGGGCCTATGGACTGGTTCTGTGCCTGCAGGGCCAGATGAGTCTGACATCCGTGTTTAGAGAACCTGGCTGTCACATGAAAATGACAGTTAATTGCCAACTGACAGACTTGGCACCCTTCCTAATTTAGCATAAATGAACAAGCAATTACCCATAGCGGGTGGCATCCACAGGGTACAATTTACATAGCGCAGTACATCATAGTATAAAAGTACTTGTGCTAGTGCTAAAAGAAGGGGCAAGCAACACTGAGCATAACACCACTTTGATGTGGGTATATGGCCATCTCTCTTCTGGCATCCAAGCTGGCCATTTAATATTAGCTCAGGTATATCTGTTCTGCAGTGACATGACGACATGCATGGCATCACCCCATGGCCTACCTTTGACTGAGCATCCTACTCTGAGTGCATTACATAAGCAATTCTGATCTTCATAATAGACCAGATGGCCGAGTGGCCTTGTCTATCCCATAGAGCACTTGGCTAGGAAGTGCAAGATGTAGGTTCAAACACTGTCTGCATGAAGGGAGAGCGCCTAAAACCCAGCTCTCCTGCACTCTCAGCTTGTACCCTAACCACAGGCCTATTGAGCTAACAGATGGGTAGGTGATTCTCTCTGTCAGCTATTAGCCATGATTTTTGGTGACTAGTATTTCAGGGATGTATACATGCACCTACCTTGCTGGAATGGGAACACAGAGTCAGAGTGGCCAGAGAAGATCCTTCTGGCTATGCTCAGAGTGACCCACAGAGTTATGCAGGGGAATAAGACTTAAAAATACCTGTGGAAATGGCTCAAAGTTAGGTGTGTAACCACTACTTACCCACCAAAAGAGTGGATTTGGGCCCCAGCCTGCTTTTATTACTTCATGGTTTTGCCTTGAGCTATGTCTCCAAGCAGCTCTTTAGTTATGGGAGAATGTCAGTACTGAGGTGGCTTGTGCAAACACTGCAGCAGAAATTTAGATGTCTGTGGGGTTAGGTGGTAGCTGAGCGGAGGTTTTTGAGGTCCCTAGCGGGGAGGGGGGGACTTGGGGACTTCAGTACCTTTTAAAGTTCTGAGTTTTACACTTTTCTGGGGGTTTAAAAAGGCTATTCAAGGTCTGCTTTTTGCTTTCAGAGTTGCATCCAGCAATGCCATTTCCCTCCTTGCAAAGTATGTTAAAATAAACCATTAACTAACTTACCCCCCTCTTCCACAGTTATTTCCATATTTCACTGTCCAACTCAACTCAGTTATTCATTGAAGCCATTAATTCCAAGATGTGGAAATGGAGGAAAAGACAAAAATCACACCAATGTATCTGAGCAGTGGCAGAGAATTATAATGCCCTGCACTCGGCCATTTAGTAGCAAGGGGTTTACTAAGATTTCAAGTTCTAAGACTGAAAAAAAATACACTTTGCAACCATGCAGCCAATGGCAAACCAGAAGTAACTCTGTGACCCTTTTACGTGACAGACCTAAGCCTCTCACTGCCCGGGTGGCATATCGAAGACCTCAGTGGAGTTGTGCAATTGCTACAGCTGACCCCAAACTGGCAGGAACGGCCCAGGTCAGGGCTGTTCAGCTTCTGAGTAGCTGGGGGCTGCATGGACTGCGTGGACTTCCCCAGTCCCTGCTGCTAGGCAGGCTGCATGGACTCCCCAGGTCCTTTTAGGCTGTGCCACCCTGCCTTCAATGGCAGGGGCAGAAAGTGGAGGCCTGAGGAGGATGGGGGAATCCAGAGACTCTGGTGGCAGCAGCAGAAGCAGAGGGGAGAGTGGTGGCTGGGTGGAAGCTCATGGTGTCACCCCTGGTGCATGGCTTGTGGCCCAAGTGCTGCAAGTTGGACAGCCCTGGCCCAGACCAAGCTAGGTGCATTGTGTAGTCATTTAATCTTGGACAAAATAAAAGTTAAATGCTACTGTACTAATCTGATAGAACTTTACACCCACTGCTTGCAAGTGTGATTATCTCCACCAGCTGTAAGGCAAGGGAAAAATCCAGAGTCTCTGAAACCAATTGAACCCACTCTTGTCTTCTTCCAGAGGTGCATTCCTTGAAACCAGCAAGGTGCAATAGGTTTCAGTGGGTTTGATTCAACCTGAAGCAGTCCTACATAAAGTAATTTATATGTAGCACAGTCAAAGGGGGGGGCTTGCTGAATTTAATCTTTAAATGGTATTAATTTATACAGCTCCTGTGTTCAGATGCTGTCAAGTATGGGACGCTGGCTTCGTAACAGCAGATGCTGTATCTCTAATATCTAATATCTATTAAGGTCTCAAAAGAAAGAGGCTTAACAGTGTAGCCTCTCTCTTAAGATGAGAGTGACAGCCTGAAAGCTGCATTTCCCTGCTTCTGGCAGTTTGTTTCACAGCTTGGCTAGCCAAACATCTTATTCAGTAGGTATTTGCACTTGATGTCCTATGTTCATATCTGTCATAAAAACTTGGGTAAATATTTAGATATTTTGCAACAGGCTGCAGCTGTGCAAGCCTACCGAGGAAAAATGGATAAGCCAGTTTTTTTAAGAATGTATTAATTAGCACTATTTATACTTTTTGCATATTATTTACCTAATAGACCAAAACAGCTTGATCTACCAGGTAAATACATATTGCTCTTTCCCCCTTGAGTTTGTCTATTTCTTGTCTAGAACAACATATAGTATTGGCTTCATTCATTTTAAGGGTACAGTTTTTGGAAGGATGGGTGTTACATCCTTTGCAATCTTTCATTGTAAAGCCATGCTTTTTTGTTTTTTGCCTGGCTGCAGCCAGAAAGTTAAAATATTCTGAGTAATGTTCAGGCATCTCAGCATATTATTCTAGAGTTTTGCCTTCTTGCATTTAATTTTATATCAAAACCAAACTGTAACCACTAACACCCAGAACCTACAGCTGTATCCCTGGAGCAGATTTTTATACATGTGCTGAGCCAAGAACAAGGTTCAAAGTATTTTTGATTTTTTCTGTCACAAAATTCAGATCTGACAGCATGTCTATAGCTAATAGGAAGCACAATTCCAGCAACATTTTGACCTATTGTTCTAGCAATGGGCCTGGTGCAAATAAATTTTAATCAAATGAACCAGTTAGTGGCACAGATAGCTCTAAAGGGGCACTTGTACACATCATGAAAATTGGCCTTTTTTGTGGTTTAATTGCATCACACTGTACATGTGTGGGGGTGGGGGTTAATGATTTAAATGAGTTTGCTACATTGCAA